AGCAAGCTCGTACTGTCGGTCCTCCAAGACGTCACTGCTAAGGGCAGGAGCACCTTCGACGGACGGAGGGCAGGCGGGGTCAGAGACCAGAGCAATAGCGTAGTCAAGGCGGCGGGTAGTAGCGAAGTCAGCGATAGCAGTGACAAGAGCGGACAGGCTCGAGACAGGAAGGGACGGGTCAGTAACAAGAGAGGCGATGACAATGCGCGGCACAGAGGAAGTCTAAGAGGGGAGGCGGGGCGATAGCAAGCGACGACGGAGGAGGTGACGGAGGAGAAGCACGAGATGCATGGGAGCGAAATGACATTGGGTGAGAGTGCTGAACAGGAGAGACAGGACCAGCACGAGAGGGACGACGAGACCAGACGTGAGACGAAGGCATGGGGTCAGGAGAGAGAGGAGGAGACACAGGAGGGGAACGAGGGGGGAAACGGGTCGGAAACGAGTCCGGCGGAGGAAGCACTCAGCCGGAAGTAGGCAGTGGAGGCGACGGTGGTGGTGGCGGCAGTGGTGGGGGCAGCGGGGGAGGCACGGGCTGTCAGTCAGGGGAAGGAAGACCAAGGAGGCGAAGAGCGGACACCGTCGGCGTTTGCTGCGGCTGCTGCCCCACGCCAACACCACAACCTCCAGCGGCACCACGGCGACCTCCAAGTAGCTCCACGCCAGCACCCCCAGAACGGGAACCCTCTCCAGCACCGGAGCCACCCCCGAGACCAGCGGGACAAGCCACGACCAAAACGCCAGGACTAGCACCCCCAGAACCAGCACCCATGGCAGCACCCTCTCCAGGACCCGCCCCAGCACCCCCAGAGCTTGCGAACATCAGTTGCGATGACGACAGTGGCTGCGGCTGCAACGACGACAGTTGTGGCGACAACAGCGATGGCGGTGGGGGGGGCAACTGGGCGGAGTCACGCGGCGAGCGGGACGCCGCCGAACCACGAGAGTCAGCAGACTCCTTGACTGGGACAACCGACGGGAGGGGAGTGACGTGAGACACACAAGACGGGGCAGGGTGGGGAGGGAGAGGAGCGGGGGCGACCGCTCCTGTCAGACGCGTCTAGGGGGAAACGAAGGAAGACACAGGGGACAGTGCAGGCAGTGAGCTTGTCCACGCCAGAGGCACGAACGTGAGCAAGGCAGCCCTAGACGTGAAACTTAGACGTTTCACCAAGGGACCCGGTCCAGAGAAGGGTCGGTGAGACCTGCGGCCGCTGAGAGTGCGGCCACAGGTTAAGCTGGTGAGCAGCATAGCGAACGGCGAACGACCGCAGAAAATGGGGTGCACCGGCATGGATCATGGAGGTACGAGCCGCCTCCATGACAAATCCGATGCGTCGCTCAAGGACCCCATTCTGCTGCGGGGAGTCTGACAGGGTGTACATTTGGGTGATGCCCTCCGCACGACAGAACCGACCATGGGAACCAGAGGCGAACTCACCGCCACGGTCGGAGTGAAGCCGTAGTACAGGGAGACATCGGTGGACACACGCAGCGACAAGCCACGGGAGTAGAACGGCAGGCACGTCGGCCTTTTGCTTAAGGGGAAAGACCGTGGTGTAGCGCGTATAGTCGTCCACAAGCACTAGAACTTAGCGCTCGCGACGCGGCCCATGGAGGAGGGCCGGGCCCAGACGTCCATGTGCAGGGTCTGCAGCGGTGCAGTGGTGGGGGGGAATGAGGAAGACTGAGGAGCACGGCGGAGCCGGCCCTCAACGCAGAGCGTGCACGGCGGCTCGGGTGAGGGAGAAAGTGCACGGAGACCTAAGACAAGACCGTGCTGGGACATATGACGCAGGCGGGGGAGAGCAAGGTGACCTAAGCGGTGGTTGCTACAACAGAGACGGGTGAGTGAGGGACCGATACGAGCAAGCCGCAGCGACCTGGGTAGACGCAACCACCTGGCGAGGCGTTCCCACCGGGGGGGACGTGGTGTGTAGCGTGAACAGGCCAAACACTGGGTGGCAGGGGAACGTGGTGAGGGGGGCACCTGTGGCGGCGTCGGTACAGATGGCGTACCGCTCGTGGCCAAGGAATGTAGTGGTGACGCCGAGGTCTTGACGACAGCCGACACCAACTAGGTTCCTGGAGAACGAGAGGATGTGCAAGCCTGTTAGGGAGCCCGAGGGAACCGCCTGACAGGGAAGGGTGGTGGAGCTACGGGCGACTACCAGACCTGAGGAGGGGTCGGCAAGTGCAACTGCGGCAGGGGTGGCAAGTGGCGTGAGCGTAGTGTGGTCGCGAAAGAAGCAGGTGGACGCTCCAGAGTCCAGCGTGAAGGAGAGCACGGCAGTAATGGTAGGAGGCGGAGGAGCTAGGGTGGAGCCTAGGCTAAACAAAGCAGGGGATCCTACGCTTGACGCATCAGGGGAGCCTAGGCTACACACACTAGTCACACCTACACTTGGCAACACGAGGTAATAAGAATTTGTCACACTAGATTCATCGACATACATGGCATACAAGGCTGAACTAATGTGGTCCATATCCATCTCAAAGATCTGGAGATGTTGGCGAAGCAGGCTGTGCCAGTCGGGGAGGTTCGGCTCGGGGCTGAAGCTGAAACGAAATAGTTCGTCCACACACGAAAACAGTGAGAGGCATTGTGACTGGCCTTACCGCACACGAAGCCGCGGCGAGAACCGGTCTGGAGATGGTACTGGCAGGGGCCAACACCGGCACCGCCACTCGACACCAAGCTGCGTGCACTGCCACCTCGACCACCACCACCACTGGCGCCAAGCCACCCTGGGGGGAGGCGGCCCAACTGCTGCTATGACTACGGCGGCTGCTGCAGCGGCTGCTGCAGCTGCTGCTGCTGTGGCACTTGTTGCTGCTGCTGATGCTATGGCGCCTGCTGCTGCTGCTGCTGCTGTGGCTGCTGCTCTGGGGCAGCAGCCCCGGTCCCCTCGTTGGTACTACCCGTGGACAGACCACCGCCACCACCTCCTCCCCCCTACCCCTGCCGTGCCCCCCTTTGGGGCGGCGGCCCTTACCCTGACAGTATAGTGCTGCAGCCGCCGCAGCGGCGGTCTCAGCAGCACCGGCTGTCTCGGCGACAGCTGCTGAACTGTCAGAGTAAGTGCACTGAGAGGGAGCACAACCCTGAATGATAGGGACCGGCGTAGTATTGCTAGACTGGGCGATAGTGCGCTAGCGGGTCTCTATCGCAGTCAGGGTGGTGACAAAGTCAGGGAGGGTGAGGTTAGTGGGGTGAAGCCTCGGAAAGTGGACGCGGGCAGTGGCAAGGCGGTCAGGGAGGCGGGTGGCCAGGAGGTAAAGGGTAGCGCAGACGTGGGGCGGGAAAACAGTAAGCTGGGCCTCAGTGCTAGCAGCGCGCCAACTCGCCTCTAGAGTGCGCAGGTGAGTGACCAGGTTAGCGACGGTGGGAAAGGATGCGAGGTCAAGGAAGAGCATGAGGAGGATCAAGCGGCCGGCAGAGGCCGAGGAACGGGTGGAGTAGCGCGCGACAACAGCCTCTAAGAACTCCTGCGCAGTCGAGACTGGCGTAAAGCGGGGACGCTCAGACAGAGGAAGGGCATGACTGATAGCGAGCTGTGCGACGGCATTACGCGACTCCCAGACAGCATGTGCAAGCGCAGCGGCGGCAAAGGACTCACAGTCAGCGGACGTAGGCTCAGCGGCGAGGGCAGCAGGCGGGTCAGGAAAGGGGAGCATACTGTCAAACTGGACGGCCAGAGAGTGGCCGTCCTGCCTCTGACCTGTGAGGGAAATGTGGAGGTCAACGAGCCACGCCTCGAACTCAACCGCCTGCCCCTCCGCGTCCAGGCGCAGCACCGAGTCCGCCATCACAGCAGCTGCTGCAGCTGACTGGCAGTGAAGGGCGGTGCAGAGCGGTGGAGAGTGGTGGGGAGCAGTGGGGAGCGATGGAGAGCAGTGGAGAGCGGTGGAGAGCGGTGGGGAGCGGCGGGAAGCGGCGGAGGAGGGTGGGGAGCGGTGAAGATCCGTGGGGAGTGGTGGGGGAACGGCCAGCGTAGGCGCCGTCGCTAAGGAAGACCAGGGCCGACGGACTGGAGGAGCGCGGCACGTATAGCTGGAGCCGGGCGGAACTGGGGCCGGCTGGAGCAGGGCCGGCACGTACTGGGGCCGGGAAGGCGCTAAGAGGCCAGCGGGCACGAGTGGGCTGGCAGGGCGCAAGGGGCTGGCGGGGTGCGAAGGTGGCCAGCAGAGAGTGGAGGCCAGCGGGGCGTGGAAACGGCTGGCGGGGCGCGGAGCGGCCAGCGGAGGGCTAAGGCCAGTGGAGCGCGAAGGTGCTAGCAGGGCGCGATGGCCAGCAGGCGCGAGGGCGCTGGCAGGGGCGTGAAGGGCCAGCGGGGCGCGAAAGGGCTGGCTGGGGGGCGCGAAGGGCCAGCGGGATGCGAGTGGCCAGCGGGGCGTGAACAAGGCTGGCTGGGCGCGAAGAGGCCAGTGGAGCACGAAGGGCCAGCGGGGCGCGAAGTGGGCTGGCGGGGCGCGAAGGGCCAGCGGGGCACGAAGGGCCAGTGGGGCACGAAGTGGGCTGGCGGGGTGCAAAGGGCCAGCGGGGCACGAAGGGCCAGTGGGGCGCGAAGGGCCAGCAGGGCGCGAAACGGGCTGGCGCGGCGCGAAGGGGCCGGCGGGGTGCGAATGGCTAGCGGGGCGTGATGGGCCAGCGGGGCGCGAAACGGGCTGGCAGGGCGCGAAGAGGCGAGCGGAGCGCGAATGGCTAGCGGGGCGCGAATGGCTAACGGTGCGCAAAGGGGGCCGGCGGGGCGCTAAGGCCAGCGGGGCTCTAACTGGGACAGCACAGCAGGGCGCTAGGGCTAGGGCTAGGGCTAGGGTGGAAGCGGACTGACGGGCCTAACCTAAGCTGATACCATCTTAGAGTAGCGGAATGAATCGAAGAAAGTGTACAAGGAAGCAATATCTAGGGTGTTGTACTCTTTAAAGCATATCCTTATCTAGGCTACTATGACATATATAAACATGTTTGACAACATCAGCTAGTAAGTCAAAATCCAGATGTGTGCATTAGCTGCCTTGATGGTATCAACAATAAAACCAAAACAACCAGAATTACTACTGTCAACATGTCTTGGAAAATGCAACCGTAAATGCAAGCTGTCATAGAGATCCTACATTATGGTGCACAACATAGGGTAGAATAGGTTCATACTCCGAAGTGAAATCAGAGCACACATGCTGCATCATGCCACAGGCAGGGAAAACTTCCTGTGCACAATGCTCGGGCCGGACTCATCATACTCGCTCTTGGAAATCCATGTCTGCGTAACAAAAAAGAATTAAAACCCGCGTGCCAAGAAGTTCAATGGTAGGAAGGTTTGTTGGATAGGAGGACAGGATAGATTGCTGAGTAGTTCTTCTAGGGAACTCTCAACCAAAGGTAAGAAGCTCGAGGCAATTTCGGGACATTTGGTACGCGGGTTTCAATAATTAAGTGGGCACCAGGGTCCAGAACACAAGTGAGAAAAAGGTCAGAATTGCATACCTCCTTGAAGGTGCTCAGAGCCGCCAGCATGGATCCACCATTCCATGCACTGTACTGCCGCTGCTCATGTGGAGCAACGACATTAACCTCGGTGCCAGCGAGCTGGGTGATTTCCTTCGTCAAGCGTTCAGCAATCCCACGCAAGTTAGAAGTACCACCATTGAGCAAGATGTTGCCGTACAAATTCTTCCTGATATCGGCATCACACTTCTCAACGGAGCTGTAACACATCTCGTGGAGACCTGAGCCTTCCTTGCCAAGCAGTGAGGGCTTGAACAGTGGTTCTGCGCACTGGAACCGCTCAGCACTGATAGTAACCATCTGTCCATCAGGAAGCTCGTAGCTCATCTCCTGTGCAGTCTCCTGGTCGAAATCAAGGGCAACGTATGCCAGCTTCTCCTTGACATCCCCCACATTATCCCGCTGATCATCAGGAGAGGCGTAAGTGAAGGAGTCACCCCTCTCAGTCAGGAGCTTGATCAGGTAGTCAGTCAAATCACGACCAGCAAGATCCAAACGGAGAATTGCATCCGTCAGAGCCTGACCCTCGTAAATGGGGACAGCGTGGGACACACCTTCACCCAAGTCCAGAACGAGACCTGCAAACGAAGACGACATTAGCAGCAGAGTGACAGGGGGAAAGCAGCTGCGCGAGTAAGTAGCAGAGGTCCAACGTACCCGTGGTGCGACCGCTGGCGTACAGAGAGAGCGCAGCCTGAGTGACGACCGACATTGACGGCACGTAGAAAGTCTCAAACATCATCTGCGCCATCTTCTCGCGATCCGCCTCAGAATTCAGAGGAGCTTCAGTCAGGAGCACCGGACGCTCCTCTACCATGACACCAAGCTCATGAAAGGTGTGCTGCCAGATACTTTCCATGCCGTCCCAGCTCGTCACAATGCCTGGAATGTCAAACCAGGAAGCTCATAAGCGAGGAACCGAAAGAAAAGAAGAAAAAGAAGAATAAGAGTGCGTGCTATTCCTCCAGCAGCCTCGTAGCGCTCACCTTGCTCAATAGGATGCTCCAGGATCAAGATTCCACGCTTCTCCTTTGCGTCGAGACCAACGAGAGGCTTCTCATAGCTTCCTGACATATCCTTAGGCCGACCAACAATGGTGGGAAACACAGCGCGTGGCGCATCCTCTCCGGCAAGCCCGGCCTGGAAAGGGAGTCCATAACAGAATCAGACAGGAGCCACGGGCAAGACAAATCGAGAAGGCCAATGCCACTCACCTTCATCGTACCGGATCCATTGTCGCACACAACAGCCACCTCGTCGGCCATGTTGAACTCCGACAATTAAAAAGGGTTGGGCGTCGTTCACTGTGGTAAACCAAGCTTAAAGAGAAGAAAAGAAAAAAAAGTTCACAACTGCTAAGCCGTAATTGATCCTCGCAAACGAGCAGCCTCCTTTCGCAAATGTACTTGGATGACAAGCTTTTTCCAGTTCAAAGCAGCAACCAATGGCAGATAATCGCTAAGCTCACCAGATGCGGCCGCGGAGTTGGAGCTAGCTTAGAGATGAGTTGCTGTGAGGCTTCTAACCGTAATGAAGGCTGAAACTCATATTAGTCCTGTCCTTCCAGCATCTCTTCAGAAGATTACGGCACAAAAAATCTTCGCCATTAACCCCTGCCCTGGCCCACGTCACCAGCCCAACGACCTATCGAAAAGAACGAGAGGACATCGGAAATCTGCTTGGCCAAGGAAATCCTTCTTTTCTGAACTGGTCCCTTGTTCGGCCACAGTGGCCGAGAACTGAGGGCCTGCATAGCTAGGACATCTGGGATGCCGTCCGGTCACTTGCTGATCACAGCACTGAGGACGGGGTATATTTGCGTCCGTTTTGCCGAAATCGACCTGGACCAGTTCGTTTTGATGGTCAAAAGGTTGTGATGCGGTATAGAAAGTTTTCAGCGTGGTAAAACATGCAACCGGACGCAATGTACCGCGTCCTAAAACCTCCTCTCATCAACAAACACAGGAGGAACCGCCAGAAAGGGGTCCCGCCCGCGTAACCATATGGCGCAGGTCGGTCTTTAGGACGTGGTGCTCTGAGTTTGGTGTTGCGGCAAGTTTCGAACTCCGGGAAGGTAACTGTTTCGCGAAGGGGTTTTCGCCGCTTTCGCGAGGGTGTCAGTATCAGAATGAAGAATGACTAGAATGGGGAGATACAAGGCAATATAGATTGGTGAGTTGTACCCACTAAGGCACAAACACATATAGTCTACAGTAACTGTATAAGTTATGTTTGATACACCCCCTAGACTATATAGGGGCAGTGCCTAACAAGGGAAGAAGCAGCTCAGGGCGGCACTACTAGTCCAGCCTCTGAGACAAGGGTCTAAAGACCAGTCACAAGGAGTACGGACAAGGCAAGAGCAAGGCCAGGGCAGCACTACTAGTCCAGCCACTAGGAGAGGCCACAAGGCCAGTCAGGGTAAAATATATATATAAAGGACAGTACAAAGTCAAGGCCCTGGCAAGTGAGAGGCTACAGGAACGAGACCTAGCTGTACACAGTGTCGCTGATGATCTTTACGCGCAAGCGCCTTCGTAATGATATCAGCTGTGTTGGCACCGGAGCCCAAGTGTACTACGCGTGCATGGCGGCGCTGCTGGAGCTCACGCAGGAGGAAGTACCACAGCTGGATGTGCTTCGCTCTGCCCTCGAGTCGAGGCTCCTGACACAGGAGGATCATGGCCCTGTTGTCAGCGTACAGGACCGGGGCAGAGCTAGGCCGCTCACCTAAGTCAGTGAGCAAGAAGGTCAGCCAGCGGAGCTCCTGTGCCGCCATGGCACCGGCGTAGATCTTGGCCTCATAGCTGGACTGGGCAAAAGACGAGGAGCGGGTAGCTCTCCACGAGACGGCACCTGAACCAAGGTTGAAGCAGTAGCCCTGCGAGGACCTGAGGGTCTCGGCGTCGTCTGCCCAAGAAGCATCTGTGTGTCCAGTAAGGACCACTGGCCTGCGTCCTCCTAGCACTACTTGCAAGATAACGCAAAACCCTCTTCGCGGCAGACCAGTGCTGTGGTCGGTGTCTGCCTGTAGCCACAAAGCGAGCCAGGATGCTGAGAGGGTATGCGAGACCTGGGCGAGTGCGAGATGAGGCAACCCACCACCTCTGCGTAAGGACAACTGGGCTCTGCCGACTCCTTAGGAACTGGAGTGGAGAGCCTGTGGTCTAGAGGCAGAGGAGTGGGATGTGCGGAGGAGAACTGAAGGCCGAACCTCTGAAGGACCTGGCGCACCAAGTGTGACTGAGTCAAAGCGATGGTGCACGCTGCTCTGTCCCTGGAGATCTGCAAGCCAAGGTAGTGGCGCAGTTCTCCAAGGTCAGTGCAGGTGTGTCTCTTCAGCAGCTCTGCCTTCACCGAGGCCAGTGCGTCCCTGTCTGCCGTGGCGAAGACCAGGTCGTCTATGTAAACAAGGATGTAGAACGGGGTCTGGCCAGCACGAACGAAGAGCGAGGGGTCTGCAGAGGATGGAAAGAACTGCAGGTCAGCAAGCGTAGCACACAGCGTGTCGTGCCACTCACGGGGAGCCTGCCGCAGGCCGTAGACGGGGCGCCGCAGGAGCCACTGGGTCCCGGGAGGGAAGGTACCTGTGAAGCCCTGAGGGCGGCGCAGGTAGACCTGCTCGTGTAGACTGCTCTGAAGAAACGCAGTCAAGAAGTCGAGGGAGTGAAGCTCGTAGTCACGCTGAGCTGCTACGTGTAGCTGCACCCGAAGAGTAGTCATCTTCAGGGTCAGAGCGAAGGTCTGGAAGAAGTCCACCCCCTCATGCTGACTGAAACCTCTAACCACGTAGCGCGCCTTGAACGCAGGCGGCTCTCCAGGAGGGCGCTTCACCTTGAAGAGCCAGCGGCCATCGACTACGTTCACCCCAGGTGGGGGAACTGCGTCGACGTAGGTGCCAGTGGATCTCCAAGATGCCATCTCCTACTCCACGGCAGCTATCCACTGAGAGGCCCAAGGTCCGAGACCGCCTCAACGTAAGTGCGAGGGGTCGGGATGTCGAAAGCGTCGGGGTCACCCTCATAGACTAGAAGCATAGAGCAGAGATGGGGAGCAGCCTCGGACAGGAAAGCAAGCTCGTACTGGCGGTCCTCCAGGACGTCACTGCCGAGGGCAGGAGCACCCCCGACAAACGGAGGACAGGCAGGGTCAGAGACCAGAGCGGTGGCTGAGTCAAGGCGGCGGGTAGAGGCGAAGTTAGCAACCGCAGCTACAAGGGCGTCAAGACTCGAAACCGGAACAGACGGGTCGGTAACGAGAGAGGCAAGGACCCGAGGAACAAGAGGACGAGTGGCACGCAGGTATTCAGATAGAGGGGGGGAGCAATGACAAGGGAGGACGGAGGGGGTGACGGGAGAAGGGGAGAACGAGATGCGTGGGAACGAAGCAACATAGGGTGAGAGCGCGAGACAGGGGAGACAGGCCGAGCACAGGAGGGACGGCGAGACCAAACGTGAGACGGAGGAGTCGGGTCAGGAGACAGAGGAGGGGACACAAGAGGGGATCGAGGGGGGAAGTGAGCCGGAGACGAGTCCGGAGGAGGGAACACAGGGCCGTAGACAGGAGGAGGCACAGGCACGGGGTCAGGGGACGGAAGGCCGAGCAGGCGAAGAGCGGACACCGGTGGGGACTGCTGCGGCGGCAGTGTGACACCAACACCGGGACCGCAAGCTGCCGGGCGGCGACCTCCAAAGCACTCTACGCCAGCACCCCCAGAAGAAACACCCACAGAGCTCAGAACCCCTCGAGCACCGGTACCACCCCCAGGCCTGTCGGGACAAGCCACGACAGGAGTCCCAGGACTAGTACCCACCCCAACTCCAGCACCCCCAGAGGCAACGAACTGCGGCGGCGACAGGTGCGGCGGTGGCGGCTGCAACGACGGCTGCAGCGGCGGTGGCGACGGGGACGACGGCTGCGACACCGGTGGCGACGGCGGCTGCGGAGGCGGAGGAGGAGGAGACACCTGAGAAGGGGCAGGCGGCGAGGACTGCGCCGCAGGACCACCAGAGTCAGCAGACTCCTCAACCGGGATAACCGACGGAAGTGGGGTGATGTGGGACACACCAGAGGGGGCTGGTTGGGGAGGGGGAGGAGGAGGGGTGGCGACGACCGGGGAAGGGGTGACCAGGAACAGGGGGGGGGTAACCGGGGGACCTCGGTGGGGGAAGCGGTCGAAGAAGGAGACGGACTCGTCAAAGGTGATGTCGCGGGAGTGCCAGTCAGACGCGTCAAGGGGGAAACCGAGGAAAACACAGGGAAGGGTGCGGGCAGTGAGCTTGTCCGTGCCAGAGGCACGAACGTGAGCAAGGCAGCCCCAGACATGAAACGCAGACGCGTCACCAGGGGATCCAGACCTAAGAAGGGTCGGCGAAACCTGAGGCTGCTGGGGGTGTGGTCACACGTTAAGCTGGTGAGCGGCGTGGCGAACGGGGAACGTCCACAGAAAATGGGGTGCACCGGCATGGATCATGGAGGTGCGAGCCACCTCCATGACCAAACCGATGCGTCGCTCAGCGACCCCATTCTGCTGCGGGGAGTCCGGCAAGGTGAACGTCTGGGTGATGCCTTCCGCACGACAGAAACGACCAAGGACGCCAGAGGCAAACTCGCCATCACGGTCGGAGTGAAGACGCAAGATAGGGAGACGGCGTTGCACACGCGCAGAGACCAGCCACGGGATGAGAACGTCAGGCACGTCGGCCTTCCACTCCAGGGGAAAGCGTGGTGTAGCGCGTGTAGTCGTCGACAAGCACTAGGACGGGGGCGGGGCCCCAGACGTCCATGTGCAGAATCTGTAGCGGTGTTGCGGTAGGGGGAAACGAGGAGGAGTGAGGGGCACGGCGGAGTAGGCCCTCAACATAGGGCGTGCAAGGTGGGGCTGGGGAGGAGGGAAACTCGGGGAACGACCCGGGGAGGCCTAGGACGAGACCGTGCTGTGACATGTGACGCAGACGCGGGAGCGCAGGGTGACCTAGACAGTGGTGCCAGAGAAGAGTCGGGTGGGTGAGAGACCGACAGGAGCAGGCAGCAACAACCGGGGGGGACGCAGCCTTCTGAGGGGGGGTCCGAGCCGGGGAGGTCACCGTGTCCAGTGTGAAAAGACCGGACACCGGGTCCCGGGGGAACGTGGACAAGGGGGCACCAGTGGCGGCCTCGGTACAGACAGCGTACCGCTCGTGTCCATGGAACGTAGTGGTGACGCCAAGATCCTGAAGGCAGCCGACACCAACTAGGTTCCTGGAGAACGAGGGGATGTGCAGTCCTGTGAGCGAGCCCGAAGGAACTGCCGGGTAGGGGAGGGTGGTGGAACTGCGGGTGACTACAGGGCCGGAGGAGGGGTCAGCAAGAGAGACTGCGGCAGGGACAGGAAGCGGTGTCAATGTGGTGGAGTCACGGAAGAAGCACCGGGAAGCGCCAGAGTGGAGGGTGAAGGAGAGCGCGGCAGTGGCGGCCGGAGGCCAAGCAGCGACGGAAGCACCAAGGCTAAACAAAGCAGGGGATCCTACACCTGACGCAGCAGGGGAGGCTAAGCAAGGCATACCTACACTAGGCAACAAGGGGTAATAGGACGGCGGATAGGAAAAGCAGCGACGACGGCTAGGGGCGGGCACGACGGCTAGGGGCGGGCACGACGGCTAGGGGCGGCCGTGGGACGGCGGGAAACGGCCGCGACGGCGGCTAGAGGCAGCCGCGACGGCAAGGGGCGGCCGTGGCGACAGCTAG